TTTTTCAATACCTCCCAAAATAATCTTCTCCATAACTTTAACAGGCACTGAAATGAGACTGACAGGCCTGTCGTTTCTCCAATCTTCCTTCTTGCCCTTCCTCAAAATTCAGACAACATTCGCCAGCTTCCAGTCAGCTGGGACCTCTCCAGATTCCCAAGACTGCTCAAAAACCATCAAGAGAGGTTTTGAGATGACATCAGCCACTCTTTCAGGATTCTTGGGTGAATCCCCTCAGGCCTCATAGATTTGTAGGGATACATCTGGAGCAGTAGATCCTGTACAATTTCAGGGTTGACTGGGAGTTGATCATTCTTGCAGTCATGGTCCTCCAGCTCAGGGTACTGAGATCCCCTTGGTCCATCATTCGTGTTGAAGACCAAGGCAAAGAAAGCATTAAACTCCTCTTACATGGCAAAAGGGAACATTAAATCAAATATTACATAAATGTGAGAAATGTTATTTTTCATGAACTTTTTCTTCAGGATACAATTTAATTTTAAAAATATTGTCAAGATTAAAAACCAAATTGTACCTCTGAAATTACACTTGTTTATGGGAGTTCACTGCTTAAACTGTGAGCTATTCCAGATCTTGCAACCCAGATAAGGTTGTGTACTGATTTTGGCCAGGACAGGGCTAATTTTTTTGCAATAGCCAGGAGAGGGCATGGCCAGGATCCTAATGTTATTCGATATCACCTCATGTCATTGCCAGGGCAGGGGAAAGGGACTCTGTCTCACTTCCAGGAAGAAGGGGTTCCTTCCAGTGAAGAAAACATGATGGGAGGAATGGTCCAGTATTTGTTTATTGCTGGGGGGTTTCTCCTGTAAATAGTTTCTTTGTCTTATACCACTCTTTATTAGTATTGTTACTGTTACTGTTCATTTTCTTATTTTATTGCTGTTTCCAGTAAATTATTCTTATCTCAACATGTGATCTTTGCCTTTTGTGTCTCCCATTGGAGGGGGGAGGGGAATGGCACATAGCCTTTCTAGTGGGACTACTGAATTGGAGAATACCATTCCTAAACCATGACAAGATGTGATATGCAAGGGAAAATATCCTGGAAACCTAAATAAACTTCTTGTACAAAGCATCTCCTTGCTACAAATGAACGGACAGAAATGGACACTTCCAAGTGAGATCTGACCCATTCAAGCAGGTTCATATATCTTTTCACTTAAAATACAAAAAAGAAATTAGAAAACTAATTTAGAATCATTGCTGAGGTTCCCAGACTTAAATTCTACATGGCAGGGGTTAGGTGAAGCAACTGGTAATTAATTGCAGATGTGCAATTTCAAAGTTCCTAATGAATGATGAAGATGGAGAAATCAGAGCTTTTCAATGACTGAATTACTCTCTCCAAGTGCTGAAAATTTTTATGTCAGCTCGTGACTCAACCCCTACATTAGGAACAATCAGGTTCTCTGTTTTGAACATTCTGACCTAATTTATTTTATTAAAGGATAAATTGCAACAGAGAAATGGTGGCAAATTCTAACAAATAAATAGGATTTCTTTTAAGAAATATGTCATGATAAAGCTTAAAAAAATACAGACACATTTGCGTTTAGCAATATATCTGTTCCAAAATGCCTTACTACTTTTTGAGATTTGAGCAACCAAAGTTATTTTAACCTGATTTTGCCATTTTATCTCTCTTATTCATTTTTTAGTGAAAGATAAGCATTAGAGAAAGACTAAGATTTAACAAAAGGCTGCATGAGAATTGTCTGTATCATAAGAAGCATAATAATATATGTATGCAGCTTCAAAAGTCTTATATTAAGAAACAGTCTGAAATTCCATCCTTAAATACTCATTTTGTCAGTCTCTTAAAGCTCATGGAATTTATTATGGCTAGTTCTTCTCTCACATCTGTGGCAAGAATATTTTTGTTGTTTAAATAGACTTCAGCAAAAATCTGCTACATACTGATTCCTCTGTGGCTGAGCTACAGATTAAAATTATTTTTGTTAGTATGATCAAAAAATTATGAAAATTAAACTGTATTTAAACACTCTGTAATATATAATAACTAATATTTAAAATAATTAATTAAAGTTTATGAAAACTGAATTGTAAATCTTAGAGCAAGAGTACTGTGCACTAGCAAGAAAGTGTGATGACAGAATCACAGAATCATGGGATCACAGAATGGCTAAGGTTGGAAGGGACCACAGTAGGTCATCTGGTCTAACCTCCCTGCTCAAACAAGGTCGTCCTTGAACACATTACAAAACATTGCGCTCAGAAAGTTCTTGAATATTTCCAATGAGGGAGATTCCACAACCTCTCTGGGTAATCTGTACTAGTGTGTTGTCACACGCACAGTAAAGTTTTTCCTTGTGTTCAGGATCTTGATGAAATCATAGATTACTGTCTGTAATGTATTCCTTAGAAAAACTAGTTCCTCAAGTTTCACAAGATTATCATATCTTTTTGTCGAAGAAAAGAAGTAACTTATGGACAAGTTCAGGATGTTTTGTGCAATTTATATGGCTGAAGGTTCACTAGCAACTTGGCATTAGTTGAAATGTATACAAGCATCTAAAACAGCAAAGCAAAGTAAGAAAGTAGATTATGCGGTCTTAACGTATAAGGAATAATAAGTAGCATTGTTTCACAGGGAGTTCCACTGTTTTCAGTAGACAAAACAACTTTGAAGATTTTAGTCAGGATAAAGGTTTCTCAGTTTAACTCAAGACTTGCAGAAAAATATGATAGAAGAGGATGTTTTTTAGGGATTTTTTGAGAAGTTACCAAAGAACTTCTCCTAAAAGCTGCTGAGACCTAAAAATTATAGCCACCTCTCGCTTCCGTTTAGTTTTATCTGAGGACTTGACTCCAGAAGATTAGACAAGAAAATGGATGTGAGATGTTGTACACCAGAAAACATTCACAGAATGTGAGGATGGCAGACATACAGGAACAGGAGAAATGCCATTGCTAATGAAAAAGGATAATTAACTTGATAGCATTATTTTTTTATATTTGTATCTTTTTTTCTGCAGATAATGTATTTCACTTCAGGTTTTTGATGTATTTTACAAATGCTAATGACTTAAGCTTCAGAGCTGCAGCCTGCTGATGTTAAATGGATAATATTAGTCACATATCACAGAGGGGAAAACTTGTGCTAAGCCCTTGTAACAGCAGTGAATTTTGCCCTATGTGATTCTGGAAAGTCAATGTGTCTCCACACTAACATGGGAATGCACAGTTGAACAGATTAATGATGGGTTGTGTATAAACTTGCTGTGATTGCTCCTCTGTGCACAAATGCTTTGTACATGTAAATCAAGCCTGAATGCTACTCAGCATGTATATTGTAAAAGATATTAAGAAACAAAGCACGTACAAAGAAGGTAAAAGGAAACAAGCAATGTACTGGTAGCAAGATCTGGCTGAATAGAGCTGATTACAGACTCAAATTTTGGTTATATTTCAGCCTATCACCCAGAATGCAAATGTGAATACTTGTAGAAAAAAAGGAAGAACATGTGTCAGTAGTGGAAGATTACTTAAGAAGAGTCTGGTGCAGATCACAAATGAATGGTCTGGCTTTTTCTCTCACCCCAAGGCAATGAAACTGCTCACTGTCCTCTACATTCAACTTTAAAGTCAAAATTAATTTCTGAGGGAAATAGCAAAGCCAGAAGTGGCAAAAATTATTCTTGTCATCTTATCCCTTATTTAAAATGGAATCCTTCTCATAGCTATTCAGAAATCTCTCTCCTGCATGACTCTCACTGCCTTGCTCTTAGGAGAGGGGAAAAAAAAACCACAAAAAAACAACAACCCAAAAAGCATAAGTCCTACTTAACCTTTGCTGAGAACAAAGTGCTTCAAGAGATGTTTTTCCCTCTTTTCATTTCTTACTCATTCTCTAAACGATATGCCATCACTGAGAGGAATAAAAGGGTCATTTTATAAGGACAGTGGTACCTCGATGAAAATGTGTTTTACCACTTGTTTCATGAATAACATTTCCAGCTTGCCAAAAATCTCAGGGAGCTTTTCATAAAAGTCTTAAGGTACTTAAAGCAGAAAAAACTGAAGTCCATTCTAAAAATTTTTCTCCTGAGCATAAGTTTTTTTTTGTTCCATTGGATTTCATCTAAAGCAAATAGTAAAAATTTGGGGGATTTTAAAATTCCTGAGACTAAAATCTTCTGTGAAATACACCTGAAAGAGCACAAATTTGTCTGCTTGATCTGCGACCACTTACGAAGTGAACCACACTGTCATAGTATCCAGGCTCAGCTTTAATACTTTTACATGTCAGAGAGCTAAATGATATGGTAACAAGGATAACAAAATTTTAAATGGGATGGGGGTGTGTGGATCTCTATCAATCTGTAGTAAAGCTAAAGGAGGAAGAAGAAAGTAGTATCAATAAGATGGGAAGCTATTCTTGACTAATTTGATTTGACTGGAAGAAATGGTAATCTGTAACTGATACTTGCAATGATATTCATACTTTATTGCAAATTATTGTAAGATTAAGAAACATATTGAGGAATGTAGCTGTACCTACTCGCCAGTATTCTGAAAAAGTCTCCAAGATTCATGGCAAATAGAAAATAGGTACTACCTCCCATGAAAAGCCCCCAAACTTGATGACACACTTGACTACCAGGGTTAGTAGATAGAACAAAGCTGCAGGTATCTTCTGGTTCATGCTCGACAGATAATTTTTAAATTTTATTCCATGATTGTTTCATACAAAATACGTTCAAATTCTTACTTCACAGGAAGATCTCATAGACCATCCTGGATAGTGTTACCAATCACTTAGAAAGTCATTGAATAATCACCTGAGTGGGGTAAAGGTGAGTCATTACAGGCATTTGATAGACATGTTTCACTAAAACAAATAAATGTTGATAAAAATCAGATAAAGGAGTGACTGGAAAATGGGCAAAAACCTCAACAAATCTGTTGGTTTAAACAGTTTGGACCCTTCACTGTCAGAAACTGTATCACTGACATTTTCAGCAGCTGCAGTAAAAGACAATATCTCTCCCTACAAAACGTACCTCATTTGTGCCATATCACTACTGTATTGTTCACCTTCATCGGAAATCCTGCAAATCATAGTCAGGATGAACAGGCTCCAGTACAGCATCACTGATGTTTCCAATACTCTCTCTCACCAGTAGGCTGAGGGTGGGCAAAGTCCTGAGAGGGGACAGCTGACCTCAGCTGACTAAAGGGGCAATTCCATACAATATGATGTCTGCTCAACAATAAAGTAAACAGAAAGGAGGAGGAAGGTGTGGGGGAGGGAGAGTGTGGGCAGGTGTGGTAGTTTAGTCTAGGCCTTCCTCGGTGACCAGTTTATAACCAAGGAAGTACCCAGATTTATCCTGTATTCCCTATGATTTTTACCTAAGCCACGGTATAAGAAGAAGGGAGGAAAGGCCTTCGCCCTTCTTTCCTTCTGGCGGCTTTGGAGGTGCAGGTTTCCCTGCTGTTGAGTCTGTCGTGTTGGGGAGCGAGGCCTGGTAAGGCCTTGCCGACCCTGGGAGGTGGAGGTTGCCAGCAGTCTTTCCAGCACAACTTTCTGTTGTCCCAAGGAGAGTAGTAAGACATTCTTTTGCTAATTCTTTTAGTTGCTAGATCTTGGGCTATTGATCGTGTATATTTTATTTTGGTTTTGTTCCTTTTTTTCCTTCTCCCTCCCCTTTCCCTTTCCCTTTTCCTTCTGAAATTGTATATATATTTAATTGTATATAACTGTAATATAAGTGTAAATATATTTATATATATTACTTTAGCTATCTCTCGTTTTGGTTCTCTTGGGTTTTTTTCTTTTCCCTTGGTTCAGGAGGCAGGGGCAGTTTTTGTGGCGAGGTTTGGAGACTTGGCAGGGAGCCAGCTTCAAACCATATCAGCAGGGCATTCGTAGTTATGGTGCCCGGCTTCCCGAGCAACCACTATGCACACTAAAATTGCTTCCTGGGAAGTGACCAGGCATTGCCTGCTGATGGGAAGTAGAGAACGAAATCTTTTGTTTTCCTTTCCCTTCACGTATGCAACCTTTGTTTTTGCTTTTTTAACTGCCTTATCTTGATCCCTGGTTGTTTTTTTTTCCTGCTGAGTGATAGAGAGACTTGGTGGGCAACTGGTGTCCAGCCAAGGCCAACCCACTACACAGAAATTTTAAACATTTTCCACTGACTGCTATCAACCCTATTTCTTTTGTCCCTTCTTAACTCCATCCATATCCCTTTGCACTTTCTAACTTCCCATTGTCTAGTAGATGACATTTACATGTAGTAATGTAGAACAATGAAATAGAAATGTAGAAGGAAGCTTTGGCAGCTACTGTTTGAGTTTTCTTCAATATCATTAATATTTTGTGTAGGAATAGCAAAAGAACTTCACATTTTGCTTTCCAATTCAGCTCAGATATTTTTCAATCCATTTTTACTCATATAAAAGAAACTTGAAAGATTTTGAACACAGAATCAAAATGCCTTCTTTTTGTGTTGAACACAAGATCTGTCCAAACTACAGCTGTTTTCCCAAAAATCATGTAACAAAGAGCACACTCTAGAGAGGAAAATGAGAAAAGGAAAAAAAACCCAACTAATTTAGAAGAAGTTTTCTTCATATTTTAACTTGTCTATAATATCTTCTCTTACCTTTATGAAACATTTTGAAATAAGAAATTCAACACACTCAAAAAACCAATAAAGCTGCAATAAGAAATGTGTATCAATTTACCTACTTTGTTTTTATGCTATTAATCACCACAGCATCTAAAAGCAACAAAATTAACACCTATTGAGTACAACACATTCAATTTCTCATGTCTCTAAAGACACAGACTTCTGTGAATAGATCTCTTTCAGGATTTTTGTAGGTATATGTGACGAGCCTTGTTTTTAAATATCCACTCTGCAACTGATGTACCTCAATGGTTATGTTTTAGGCTCTAGTTTAGAAACTGATGATGGATGGAATTTCTTGCAGGAGTTTGTCCTAGATAATATTTTGCAAAAATACATAAAATTTTTGTGTCTTTCTTCTGAGGCTCCTAAGCTACTCTCCAATGTTGAATGACTCTCCGTTATTATATATTAGATAGATATGTAGATGTAATAGCTATCGCATTCTTGACCAGAGAAAATGTGATTTTCCTAGCAAAACATATTAAGTCAATGTCAAAATTGGTCTTAGAAAACTAGAATGGTTGCACTGTGCTCCAAAGGATTATTATAGCTCCTATAGAAGTCCTCTTATTTAGGTAGAGAGCTTCAAGGTCAGATAGTGTGTATGCAAAATACAGCAAAGACCTATTTAGTTATTGGGGCAGATGAGAAATTATGTACCAGCTTTGTGTATACGAGAGTGAAAGAATTGCATACTATGTGTACAGATGCACTGTTAAGCACATTGGTTGAAACTATAATTTTTTTGTGTTCAGACAAGGAAGAACTTTGTCTGAACTCCATGTGCAGAGACAATTACATGAAAAGGATCGTTTCAATATGACAGTTATAGAAATTAATTCCTTGATGCTATTACTAGTTATTTGATAATGATAACTAAGTGCATATAATTTTCTCAGAGCTTTATAACTGTTTGATTTTTTACAATTATTATTTTATTATTAAGAATTTCACATTAGTAATATAAATGTACCACAATTAAAGGCAGCAACAGCAGACTGAAAGTTCCCAAAATCAGGAAGATTGCCATCTACAGATTACATACCTGCAGAGATGTTGCAAGGATCAGAGCTAGGGAATTATTAAAATCTTTTATCAATATGCAGAAGTGAATCTCAAATAAGTGTTGATAAAATGTGTGGATGGCAAAAAGAATAGGTAAGAATATTTTACTGTGTTCTGTGATTTTGTAAGCAAAGAAGTAAGACATAATATCTTGGAGAGGGATTTACCTATGGATACAAAGATAATGAAAATTATAGGAGAATTTTGGACACTAAGCAACTCTTAGCAGAAAAAAAACAAACAAACAAAAATAATCAGGAAGCTAAACTTTACAAATTAACATAGCCAATAGACACACTTTTTAACTGTCAGACACTTGAACAAATGATTAATCATTGCAAAAAAAGGGACCAGTTGGTGCTCTGCTTTTTCATGATGAACTGAAAACACAATTTAGAGAAACGAAGTTTCAGGACTTTAGGAATCTTAGGAATGTAAAACAAACATGGAAGGGTTCAGAAGCTGATCAGATAAACTAATGCTCCTTCTGGTCAAACTGCTGAAAATAAAAAATAAAAAATATCTGTAAATTATATACTCATTTGTTTGATGTACAGTCGCCCAGATTCTGACCTGAATGACACTATGCAAATCAAGTGTTTAGGTAAAGAGTAAATTACAATGTGGTTTTATCCGGATTTAATACAACAGGTTTTTATTCAAGTTTCAAACTACTAGACATGTTAAAATAGCAAATATAACATCCTTTAATCTAAATTTTACTTTCAGAAAAGACTACAAAGCCCTTTGCACAGACCAAGGAAGATCTCCAGAGCCCAGGTGAATTTCAGTTCTTCTCCATCTTAATTTTCTATCATTTGCCTTGGGCCAAAGAAGAATATATTGTCAAAGACTTATATTTTTTTAGTTATATAAACTACCAAAATCACCAGGTTAACATAAATAAATATGTATCTCAATGTGCTAATAATTTAAAAGTGTTACACATAAGCGTGTGACAAAAATTACTTATGTGTCCTATAGGTAAGTACAAGAGAACTAGATTGGCTTCATCTGACTGACATATTTTAAGGCAGTAATCCAAAACACTTTTCTACTGTTCAGTGGCACTGGCTAGAAGACAAAAGATTGCATTGCACAGATGGGTAGAATATGAGTTCATGGGAAATCAGAGGAGAATAAAACCTCTCTCAATAATTAAGGATCACTTCAAATCTACAGTTTCTTTTAATTCCCTTCCCAAACAACGCTGCTTGTCACTAACACAAATCTGAGCAGAGAGAGGTGAGACAGGCTGAATGGGGACCTAACTCAGCACTTTGCTACCAGTTGCAAAATTAACTTTAGTATATCATCAGAAGCAGGAGTTACCTCTGGTTCATAGTTACCTCTGGTTCCACCCCTGAGCTAAAGATCTAGCAGGTCCATGAGGACTAAGTGACACCACTACAGAGAGAGCGAGAGTGCTGAGTACAAACCGATACAAACCCTTCCGCAGCCCTCAGTACTCTGGCATTGTTCCCACTGTCACAGCTCATGCCAAGAAAAGTTTTTAGCTAATAGTGGCCCTGGAAAGCACATATGCTGAGTGACTTCTGCACTACCAGCTCCTAAACTAGTCTGTGCAGCTGTGTTTCTCATAACCTTCACTTTTCTAGGAGAATCATATTAGGCTGGAGAGTGATTCAAGAAGGTTCCAATAACCTAATTTTTAGATTCCCATGCAGAAACTGTCACTCAGTCCAGATGTTAGAGAAATCAAACAAACAAAAAAATTTAATTCAAAAAACTTTAATTCAAAAGAATTGATGAACAAAATACAAAAAAAAATATGGCCAAGAAGGTTCAAAGGCTTCCTAGAATTGTATATAAAAAAAGATAATAAATATATATACTTATTCCCTTAGTTATATCAAGATGAAATCCATCAGGTATTTCTTTCCAGCATTCAGCAAAGAAGTTTGAGATGCTTATTAGCCTACATAGTGAAGGTCTTCGTTATGTTGTTTCACGTCTCACATCTGCAATCGTATTTTGTAAAAGAAAATAAAGGAAGTATGTTGGATTTCATACTTCCCCTACAGCTTAAGGTCTGTTTAGGGGTCCACTACTGTTTAAACTCTCTCCTCCTTTTTCTTTCTTTCTAGCACTGACTAATTCTTAAGGAGGCAGATTCAATCTTCTTCCCCTGAACTTCACCTCTTTGGAGTGAAACTGCTAGTGTTATTTAAGTTCAGTTGTTTCCTCTGCTTGACTAAACTACTAATATCTTGTTAAATTACTTAGATAAAGGCAGAAGGTGCATTTCACAATGCAGACCTGAGAGGATATTGACTTGACTTCAATTTTCCATTACAAGCTAACTTTTAAGTCCCAAATCCCTGCAGAATATTCAAGAGCCAGGAGTCAACTCTGTGCAAGGGAACTGTAGGTTTGAACAAGAAGCAGCTTAGCAAGTTTCTGGCAGTGCTTCTCATGGAACTGCCAAACTCATTTGCAAGAAAATTAAAAAGGCCAAAATACTGAGCTCACCTGGGAAGAATATGAATGAGCGCCTTGAACTTGTGTCTGGAAGAGACTTCTTCAATACTAATGAGGATAGGCAGGGAGGGAGCAGAGACTTCTGTTTTCCAGTAAATCTCAAGTTCATAAAGAACTGATAGGATGATAAGACAAAGTCATCAACAAAATCTTGAAGCATACTGAGTAATGAAGGTATGTCCAGTGGTGATTTACAACTATTAATTGCACTGTGACATACAGTAGAGAAACTTCTAGAGTATCGTTTACAATACTTACGGCCTGCGTTCCAAATGCTGAATTCTGACTGAAGCAGATGCTGAGTGAATACTTTATGCAATATGGAGTTCATCTTGTGATCAAAGAGCTAGAGAATGGACTTGTAAAAATTGACAAAACTAAAAGAGACCCTGAGACTTCAAAATACACTAGAAGACAGGGACTGAAAAGATGGAGAATGGAGAGTAACCTCATGCAAAGATGAAATGTACAGAGAGTTTTCTTAGAAATTCAGCAGAAAATGAAATTTGAATTAATTTTCTGTAGAAATTTAAAGAAAATATCTCAATAGCAAAGAAAAATTTAGGAGGCATGTTCCAATTGCAGTTCTGGGAGAAAAAAAAATCTTGTTTTGAGATGGATCTTGATACATTTATTGCTATACGATACAACTGTGTGAAAGCATCAGAGTGGATGAAGTGGCTCAGGATGTTCCTGCAGCTGAAAATTCTCAAGCAATAAAAAGATTCATTACTTTTAACATATATATCTTGTCTAAAAATTCAATATGAGTATCAGTCTTTAAAATGGGGAGGGGCAGTTAGTTCATAGATGTTGCCCATAGATTGCAAAGTATCCACAAAAGATAGCAGCGTAACAAGGCTTTACCTTCCTTTCACATCCTCCAAGGTGTCGCCTCACAGATGTAACCACTAAGTCTATAATTTAGGCACCTCTTGTTCTCAAAATGGTCATAAATAGGACACCTATGCTATGGCTAGTAGCAGGACTTAGGAAGGTATCTAAAAGCTTCTACTAGTTTATCTACAATGAGCTTCTAAGAGCTCAGGGTCAAGGCATTAACCTACAGACCCGGACACAGGATTTTCAAGTGCTATTTCACCTGATTATGTAGATGTGCTCTGAAGATGCCTAAAGTCCAGTACTTGCCAGACTACAGCAAAGGAAGAAGGGAATAGGATGCTGAAGGAATGGACAGCATAAGCATGTGTCCCTACACGAATAAAGACTATGTAGGAAATGAGACACCTGATTTTGAAAGTCAAAACTGTGATCTAAGCACCAGGTTCTCTCCTTTCCAAAATGGGAAAATTAATTACAGAATCACAGAATATGCTGAGTTGGAAGGGACCCACAAGGATCATCAAGTCCAAGTCTTGGCCCTGCAGAGGACCATCCCCAAGAGTCATACCATGTGCCTGAGAGAATTAAATTCATAATGCCATGCTGGTTTAAAACATCAATTTAAGATAATATTTAATCTATTTTTCCCTATTCTAAGCCAAAAATCCATGCTTTATCACTGAGTATTGTTTGAACTCACTGCCTCTGACTATTGGTATTTTTAGTGAAGACTAGGACAAAACCCAAACACCGAACATTGAGCTGTTCTTGGCATCACTTGTTGATACCTTTCAAACAGCTGAGAAACAAATAAAAATGTCTCTCTCTTCCTACAAGAAGGCATAGAATTATATTACTTATTTTTAGTTTCCCTTGCAAGTTACTTCACAGCCTGTGCTTTGGCCTTTGTAATTTTGTCACTAGAAATTCACACTTCTTTTCCCTGTGTTTGAAGTCAGCTCATGAGTTAGCCAAGTTGGCCCCTTACTGTCCTTGTTTTCCTTACTCTCTGTTGGGATAATTTGCATTGTCATCATATCATTTTCTTAAAGAAACTGCCAGGTCTCTTCATTTCTTTTCCCTTAAACCTACATCCTTGGAGACTGCTTTTATCATTTCTCTGAGAGTGCACAAGGAATATGTACATTGAACATGTACATTGAAGCAACAGCTTCACAACTTAACAAGAAGCTGCTAGTAACAGATAATGTAAGAGAAGCATATTGCTCATAGCAACCTGGGGATGCCTAAGGGAAGAGTAAGTGAGAGAAAAAAGGGAAATCTCAGCAGGCATAAGTGCTATATATAGGTACTCCAATCCTATATATCACATGCTGTACATGTATTAAAGATGGCATGCCAGAATGCTCTTTCCTGTTGTGTGGCAGACATCTCACACCCAAGTTCTCACACTTCCAAGGATCGTACACACTATCTTTACAATAGGTTCATGCTGGCCAGACACACTGACTTTCAGCAGCAGTTGAAAGCTGACATACTCCCCTACTGAGTAGGTTTAAAATGGTGTGTATAAAGAAGGTTTAAAGCCCTACAGGTTGATCTGGACAGAGAGTTGGGAATTATTTATGTGTAGAATTGTGCACTTGCAAAAAGAATATAAATTACCCAAAATATTGAAAAGAAAAACTCTACCAATTTTATTCAGCTCAGCAGAATTACAATTTGGAATGGAAAAGAAAAAGCAATATTTTGTCCAGCACAGATAAGCCGCAAACCATATTTGAAAGAAAAAGAAGGAGCTCAGACCTTCTCTGCACAGCAACCACTTTTGATTTGTGACAAGATTTGCCACAGAAGTATGATCAATACAAATCTTTCATGACAAAGAATGAAAACCAGAGCTTATGCCTAGTGCCTACAATGTGATGAAGACAAAGTTGTTCCTCTCTCCTGCACTAGTTACTGGACCACCTTTAGGACATTATGCATCTACTTGTGTCATCTTCAGGTCCTATGTGGAACCTAGCCCAACACCCTGTTGAAATGCACAAACTGAACCTTAACAGTGCTCCAGATGTAAATGCTCATATTCTGCCCTTTCAGATCAACGAGACCATCATCTAATCACTGGAACATTTGCAACTTTTAAGCTCCATTACAAGTTTACTGTTTTGGTCTGCCCTCCCATCCATCATGGCTTTGTACCTGATAGTTTTTCAGGACAAGCAGGATTACCTGTTTACAGATCATCATCTGGGTGCCCATTATCTGCTCAAATGAGCCTGTTTCCAGAGTTTGACACTGTGCTCCTTTAAAGCCAATATTAGTGGCATTACCTCTCTTCTCATTGAATGGGCCTCACCTGCTAACAACTCCTGCTTTCACAATAGATATAGGACCAATTCACCACACATTAAGTAGGGGCAGTTACTTAAAAATTATTACATGAAGTCACAGGCTCAGCAGAGCACACT